ACGCGCGCGCCCTCTTACTCCACTGGGCCTCCCAAGAGCCTGCGAGAATCGGCGACGGCCGCGCAGCTGGCGGACCCCCCACTCACCCGCCTCGACCGGAGCTGGGGGTCCCCCTGTTCCGCTGGGCCTCCCAAGAGACCACGATTGCGCGATTGGCAGCCCCCCCATGGAGCCGCGATGTCTCGACTGGATCTGCGTGTCGCCCAACTCTGCTGGGCCTCCCAGGAGCCCACGAAAACGGCGACAATTGAGCGGCTGTCCCTCCCCGATGCACGCGAGGTCAGGACTGGACCTGCATGTTCCTGCTCTCGGCTGGGCCTCCCACGAGCCCACGACAAGGCCGGCAATTGCGCAATTGACCGCGCCGCGAAGTCTCGACTTGCGTGCACCCCGCTCCCCATCTGCTGGGCCTCCCAGGAGCTCGCGGAGGAGACGACACCTGCGCAATTGACAGCCCCAACAAGGAAATGCCAGCTCTCGACTGGACCTGTGCGTCCTCCCACTCTGCTGGGCCTTCCAAGAACCCACGGACAATGGCGACGCGTGCCCAATTGGCAGCCGAACAAACAACTACGGAAAATGGCGGCGATAACTGCGCAATTGGCAGTCCCTCAGGGAACCGTGAGGTCTCGACTGGATCTGGGTGTACCCCCACTCCGCTAGGCCTTCCAGCCGCCTGCGGAGCGCGACGGCAATTGTACAATTGGCAACACCACGAAAGGTCACGAGATCTAGCATGGGGCAGGAGAAGGGGGGGCTGGAGAAAGGAGAAAGGAACCTTGGAGCAAGCAGTGCTCTCATCAAAACGAATACCAAACCCAAACTCAAGGACGACGTCTGGGAAACCATTGCTATCATCTGTCAGATGTCCGCGATAATTCTTGGGTCAACGCTGGAGCCCCTGGCGGCGCCTCTGGCGCCGCCCCTGGTCCAACACCGATCCAAGAATCCGCGTAGGCATCCGCGCAGCCACCTGAAATATGTTTACGTGTGCAGGCCTCCCCTACGTAGGAACATCTAGAACTGCATAAGTCTCTACATGCTGGCCTCTCCTCCTCCCTCCCCATGCATACTTGCTTCTTAGTCGGCCTGAACCTTCTTGAATACCCCCACTTCTTCGACCTCTGTTCCCCCCTCTCTTGTGCGCCAGCGCTCGGGGGATTTGAAAGTGGACACAGTGCCTGACAGCAGCAGCAAGGTTGCCGACAATTATAATTTTAAACCCAAAGTGGCATAGTCACAAACGCGACTGCACGAGTTGACATCTGCGGCCGAGGCTCCACTCAACGGCAGCAGGAGGCGAAAAAAAGGAAAGAGTGAGAGAGAGGAAGATGTGATGCTGGTGCCGCCAGTGGCGTGATGGCTGGACATGCGTACGCGCTTGCACAACCGTCTCAGATTACACTGAGTGGGAGATTGCTGTGCTTCCCGGGCACACAAGGTCTAGTGGCGGCGAGGGTAAGGACCTAGTGGCAAGAGCGTCCAGAGCACAAAACACTTGACACTGAGTTGCAGGATTACGCTAGAGGCGCTGCGCGCATCGCGGGCCGAAACCGCGAGGTCTCGCGAGATCGCGGTCTGATCTGAGTGAGACCGAGTGATTCGCAGTCATCGCAAGATGCAGCCCAAACAGATGGGGCACACGGATTGCTACACTCGCCGCGGAACATGAGACAACCACTGCGAGAACCACAACTACTAGCACCTGGCAGTAAGTACACCAGTCGGGGATGGACAGAACCCCCTTTAGCAAAACGTGGTTTAGTGAAAACGACCTGAGGCCCAAATCTGGCGGGCGAAAGCCTGGAAACTGACGGCCACGGCGCCCTCTCGAAAACCGAAAACGGACAATTCACTAATCGACGTGTCACTATTGGGGGTTCTGTCCAGCCCCGAACCAGCGGGTCCAGCACGGGGCGCGCAGGTTTCTACGAACGCCTGCGCAATCCTCTCCTGCTCTTCGAGCTGGAGTCGGCTACGCGCGAGAGAGGGGCCCCCGAACACGAGCGACCTCTTGTGCGCGGCTTGCCGACCGTTGCATGCGATGCGATGATTGAAGGGAAACTGGGACACACCAATAAATACACACAAAAAAAAAAGATTCCCCATATTTTCCTATATTTTCTGGGTTTTTGTCTTCCCCACCACTTCCCATATTTTCCCATATTTTCTGGGACATCGACGATTAATTGTGTCTGTGTGTTTTTTTCCCTCCTGAATGATAGCGGCCCGCGCGACTGGGTTCTCCTCCGCCCGCCCCGCGAACCAGGGCCTGCGACGTCTTGTTTTGGGGTGTTCACTGTGGACCCCGGAACCAGACCCGTCCCCCGGGACCGGCTTCAAATCCCGAGCCGTTCTCGATGATCCCGGGGCGCGGTAAGGGCCGAGGAAGACCGCACACTGCACGGACCCACCCAGCACGCACCCTCTTAGCGACAAAGAGGAGGCTTGAGCCGCCCTCCCGACAGCGGCGCACCCCGCGGAGGTCTATCCGGCGGAAGCGCCTCTCTTGCGCGCAGCCGATGGAGGTGCGAACGACCCATCGCCTCGGCGCCTCTGGGCTCCCACAGCTGGAGGCCTCCCAAATCGGGCCGGAGCAGGGGAACTCTCGAGCTGTGATTGCGCCATGTTTCCCTCTGCCCGGCTCGAGAGAGAGCGCGTCGAGCTCCTTCCAGATTCGTGGGCTCGGCGGCTACGAGCTCCGCAACGAGTGCGCGCTTTCATGCACACCTGCCTGCAGCAAATCCTGCGACACGATGTGCGACGATGTATTCGCAAGCGTCGCCGACACACCAACGACGCCAGGACGGAGAACATCGGACTCTGGACCTCGCCGCATGCGACGCGATCCACCGATCCCCATCTGCTCTCTGGCCCTGTTTGGGAGGCCTGGACGTTGAGCAGGGACCGACCGTCCCAACATTCCTTTAGGCCTACCACGAACTCTTCGTAGAACCCAATCATGTTCATTCGCCGGACGGTCTCAGCCAGAGATGTTCTGAGAACATCACGCGCAGACCACAAGAGGTTATTGGACCATTCTTTGGTGGGCCTATAGGCAAGCCAGGACGCTTCGCCACTGCTCGAGGACGGGCAGTACTAATTACCACCCGCGGTTGCCGCCGTGGTCCTCCCGGCCCGTGCGCCTCCGGGGCTTCATCGGCGGGCAGGGCTGGTCGGGCAGCGGAAACTTCCGCTCCTCGCCGTCCTCGCCCAACAGCAGTGGCATCCACTCAGGGTGCTGCACCAGCTCGTTCATGACGGGCCCGTTCCGGAGGCGTCGCACGTTCTCGTCCAAGCCCTGCACCCGTGCCATGGTCACCTCCGCGACCTTCCGCGAGTTCAGCCCCGGGAGGCACTTGCGCACGTCGACGCCGTTGAACTTGGAGACAAACTCCTCACACGCATCGCTGGTCCGGAAGTTGATGGCCGGCGGCGAGCGAAGGGGAGAGAGCGAGGCTAGGAGAGGGCCCTCCCAGAGGTCGGCGGGGCTCAGAAGCCCCCTCCTCCTCCTCCTCCTCCTCCTCCTCTCCTCCTCCTCCTTCCTCCTCCTCCTCTCCTCCTCCTCCTCCTCTCCTCCCTCCCCTCCTCCTCCTCTCCCTCCTCCTCCTCCCCCCCTCTTACCCTCCTCCCCCCCCCGGAGGCTCGTGGAGAGCTCCTCGGCAGGCCGGGGACTTCCGGGCCTTCCGAGGAGGCCCGCGCCCTCTCGCTCCCCCCCCCCCCCCGGGGCTCGCATCGGCTCTTTCGGGGCACGGGCCCTGCAGACCGCTCGACCAACACCCCCCCCCCCCCGGGGCCAGCTCCTCGCCCCGCGTCGGCCTCTGGTGGCCCCCCCTCTGGGCCCAGCAAGGAGCCCCGAGGGGGCCGAGAGCGAACTCTGCACCGCGATCGGGATGACCGGAGAGAGGGTTCCAATCAACAGCGTCTATGTCGGCACTCACGCCTCAAATGAAGAGCCAAACTGCCAACACATGCGAGGCGAACTACACACAGAGAAGAAAGCCAAGGAAACAAGCATAAAGAATAGAATGGTCAGCAACCTCCGCCCCGATTTGTGTTTTGGTCTGGGCACCGTGGCTGGAGGGGCCGTTGGGGGTGCTGCCCCCCCTCGCTCGCCGCCGAGATGAAGCCGTACCCGACGTTGCACCTGTTCTTGAAGTCGATGGGCAGAGCCGCGGGCCCCGGGCTCTCGCCGAGAGCGCCAGGGCGAGAGCGAGATTTGGTCAGTTTTGCGTTTTTTATGTTATATATATATATATGTATATGTATATATATGTATATACATATATATATATATATATATATATATATATATAAGCATCAACCCAGACATGCTCGCGTCGTTCAAAAATCAGGGCGGGAGGTTTTTGGCTAGTTTCGGCCCCGGGGGGCCCTCGCTGGGCCTCGGGACCGTCCAAAAACGACTCTGGACGAAAAACTGGTCCCGGGGAAAGGGTCGGGACTTCCAGGGACGCCGTCCTGAAAAAATCAGGACGCCGCATGTCTGCGAACCCAACTACCAAGCATTACAACAGGGAGGACGGCGCCTCCTCCCTGCTTGGTCACGAAGGCTTGCACCACAGCCCCCGCTTACGCCAGCAGAGTGTGGCTATTTCTGTCCCGGCCGCGTGGCCGATACAACCTGCGAGGCGGCCAGGGATGCCATGGACAACCTTCCCGAACGACGATGCCTCAGGCTTGCCGAACAGCCGATGTTAAATAACCTGTCGCCGTGCCCCGAGGAAGCCGAGAGTTGGTCCGCTGTGCCCGACCTCCCCGCGCTGCGGAACAATCACGACGGGAGTATTTTTCCCTATCGTCGGCCTCCAAGGGCCCTTCCCGGGCCGCGGGGCGGTCAAAAGAGGGCTCGTAGGATGACAAGCCGGTCCCGGGGAAGGGGTCCAGACTTAGGTCGGGCACGTCCTCCTACAAGCGGATTTCGAAAGAAAAATCTGAACTAGTCAAAAAATATTCCCAAATAGTCAAAAAATGATAGAAAAGTCGCCCCCGACTACTTTTGGACTATTCTTAAACATCCCTCCTGTAGAGGGACACGCCCGCCTTCAGTCTAGACCTCTGGGAGTGGACGCTGTGAGGAAATCACGACGTCGGGGGCCTTGGAGTGTCCCTCTCCTGGCGCTCCGGCGCCGTGGTAGGTTCACGGCAGGGGCCCAGGAGAACATAGAGAAACAGACACAAACCCCGGGATTCCCCATATCTTTTGAGCGGATGTTCTGGACTTTCGCCTTCCCCCCCCCCCCACTCCCCATATTTTCAGCATATGTTCTGGACTTACTTTCGCCTTCCCCCCCCCCCACTTCCCACGTCCTGGCGCTCGGGCGTCGTGACAGTCTCGCAACGCTCGCCATCGCTCGGACGTCCCTGCCCCGTGCCCTGTTTGATCTCGTGCGTGCTTCTTCCGCTCGGGCATCCAGGATGCCCATCGATACTTTTGACTGAAGTGGCCCAGGGATGCACTAATAAATCAACACGAATCCCAGGATATCCCAGATTTGTCGCATATTGTCTGGACTTGTTTCTTCCCCGCCACTTCCCATATCTTCCATCTTTTCCAGGGGACCGACGATTTCCACAACGCTCGCCATCGCTCGGACGTCCCTTCCCCGTGCACAGTTCGGTCTCGTGCGTGATTTTGTTTTGGTCGATGGTCCAGAATGCTCCTCGAGGATCCCCGCCGGAAGAGAAAGCCCCCACGCCGTGCCGTGCATTGTTCGGCCTCGTGCGTGCTTTTTTTTGGGGGGGGGTCCGTGATCCAGGATGCTCCTCGATGGTCCTCGCCGATGAAACAGAGGGGAACGAGAAACGACATAAACATGAAAACTCGGAGGTCCAGCGCGAATTCAAAGAATCCGCGCGGATCTCCGAGTTTTACCTTTGTATCATGTTTCGTTCCCCTAGAAAAAATGCACACCTCCGAGCGATGCCGAGAACGCCAGAGGCCTGGAACCCCCTCCCCCCAGAAGCGGTCTTCACCACGAGCCGTTCTCTGTGACGGGCCCGGCGTGGCTTAATGGGGGGGTCATGAATGGGGGGGTCAGTAACGGTCCCATTTCGTGCCCCTTTCGGGCCCCTCCAGAGCCCTAGGAGGCTCGTTTCGGTACCGGTTGGGTACCTTTTCGGACCACCCTCGCCACCCCCCCATGTATGACCCCCCCATTACGCAACGCCCAAAGGGGAAGGCTCCGTGGAGGCCCGGAAAAAAAGGCAACCAAAGGAACCTCCCGTCGTGTCTTGTTTTGCTTTTTTGCACGGCGAGAGGTCCAGGCTCACTCCAAGATTTGTTCAACGCCTGCTTGAAGGGGGGCTGTGAAGTTTCTCTGGAGCCATCGTGAAGGGAGGAAAAACCACCCGGACCCGACAATTGACGTTTACTAAACGATCCTGGGCGTTTACTAAACAGCCCTGCCCTGTTCGACTCCTTCCTTGGATGCGTTTACTAAACGGCTTCGCTTGTCGGGATTTGTTTTATAGGGGTTGATTTTCTGCCCGCTATCTCGGGGTGGCAGAAGACATCTCCGACATACCCACCATGGCTCCAAGTGGCTCTGGGGTGGCCCCAGGGAGACACAAAGGCTCGTGCCAGAAACTCTGATACCAAAGTTGCACCCTTTGCGGCAGAAGGCACTCAACAGCCCTTTAGAGCACTAGAGAAAACCCTAGATAGCGTTCTGTAAGAGAGCGGAGAACCATGCTGACAGTACTCTAGAACAAACGTGAGACCAAACGGGAGGCCATACAAAAAAACACGGGGAGGCCATACGAGAGATCATCCAGCAAACCATGCGGGAAACCGTGCGGGAGACCGTGCGGGAGACCATGAGCGAGACCAGACGGGAGGACATGCAGGAGAGAATCTGGGAGAGAACACGGGGGACCATACGGGAGACTAGACTGGAGGCCAGACTGGAGACTACACAACAGAACAGACGGGAACTCATACAGAAAACCACAAAACAAAAACCATGAGGAGACCATACGAGAAACCGTTCTGGATACAATGCGAGTGCGGTAGACCTAGAGCCGCCAACTCCAAATCTGGAGGATCCCATACCCAGCGCTGGACCCTTAGAATGGACATGTATACAAACATATCTATACTCAGCGCTAGACCCTTAGAATGCACATAGTCGGTCTACATACGTAAATGTGTGTGCTTATATGTGCGTGTGTGTCCCATACAGACCAACTGTGTAGGTACTACTTGTTATTGGACCCGTGCAGAACATCTGTTGGAGGAGAACCGCACACCTCTTGGCATGGCAGTAGTGACTTTAGCCGGCCTTCCACAGAGGCAGAGAGGTTCACTTCTCGATCCCTCGAAGACGGGGTCCTTGAAGACGAGGCCAGGACGAGGATAAAAGCAGGTGATGATAGCCCCAGAATCTCTGAGATCTGGCGGTTCTAGAAGATGTCTCGGGCGCCGCGGCCTTCCCAGAGCATTCCAGAACGCTCCGAGAGCGTTCGGGGACGCCCTAGGACGGATGTATCCTTGTCCTAGCCCCGTCCGACGAGAGGCCATCAAAAGGTCGAAGATGTCAACGCAGAGCCCGGACCGACCAGATCGCATCGATTTCCGCACGGCGTTGGCATCTCCCACTTAGGAGAGAGGAGGAGGAGGAGGAGGAGGAGGAGGAGGAGGAGGAGGAGGAGGAGGAGGAGGAGGAGGAGGAGGAGGAGGAGGAGGAGGAGGAGGAGGAGGAGGAGGAGGGAGGAGGAGGAGGAGGAGGAGGAGAGAGGAGAGAGGAGGAGGAGGAGGAGGAGGAGGAGGAGGAGGAGGAGGAGGAGGAGGATTCTGGCCGAGGGCGGCCCCGCGATGGGCTCCGGAGGCCTCCGACAGTCCAAGGAGCTCCGAACCCGCACAGGGACGTCCCCCAAACATATGGCCTCATGCTCGCCCCCGCGGCTCCCAACTTGCCAAGCAGATGCCCTTATTGAAGGGGCCCCAGGACACACAAATAAATACACACAAATAAAAATATTCCCCATATTTTCTAATTTTTTCTGGGTTTCTGTCTTCCCCCCCACTGCCCATATTTTCCCATATTTTCTGGGGAATCGCCGATTAATTGTGTCTGTGTGTTTCTTTCCCTCCTGACTTATGCAGCTCCACGACTGCCCGAGTTCGCCCGAAGGCTGCCCCAGGACTCCCAGAGCCCCGCAGCGCCCGTCCAAGCAGCCACACCTCGCCCCTGGGGGCGACACAGTGGCCTCGGGCGGACCAGAAGAGAGTCCAAGATGGCTCGAGAAGGTCCCCGAACGGTCCTCGGATGGGCCAGAACCGCTGCCGACTTGGAGCTGTGCCAAGTCACTCCCAAAGGGCCTACCCAGACACCCGCCCTTTGGGCTCCATACGTGCTGCCCCCTTTCGTTAACCATGCAGCTTGGAAGACCAGGGTTGGCCATCCGAGGCTCATGCTCTCGCCGCCCTTCACCTCCTTTACTCCTCCTTCTCCTCTGGTAAGGTCAATCCCTCTCCTGATCCTCCACCCCACGGCCCCTCCATCCGTCTCACCATCATCCACTGCTGCACCTCCTCCTCCTCTTCCTCCTCCTCCTTCGCCTTGCCCAGCTCCTGCTGCTGCTCCTTGTTCACCTCCTCCCTCCTAGTTTCCTTGTCGTCATCGGAGTCCTCGGAGTTGAAATGCGTTGGTCGTTTTCTTCACTACTTACATGGTCGATCTGTTGGCAAGGCCAGCATCGAACTACACTGTTGGTCGTTCTGAGCTCAATTCCTGTATGCCCCTCGTGCCTTCTGGAACACGCGTATCCCTTGATTCACCTTCTTGTTACTCCTTGTCCACGCCATCCTGCCACTTTTCCTGCTCCCCTCCTCCTCCTCCGTGTTGCCCTCCGCGGGGCGCCTCCCCCTCTTATGGAGGCCGGCGGGAAGGCGCAAACTCCCTCGAATAGACGAAGTCGAAGCGACCACGGAAATCCACACTCAGCTGCTTCACCTCAGGAACTGACTACCTACCAAACCACCCCAACCCAACCCGAAGACCCGACTTTCGGGTTGGGGGGGGTACGGGCTTCATGTGTGTTTTCTCAACGTTCCCCGACCCCCCCCCCACTGGAAATGGAGGGCAAATTTGGGCCTTCGGGTTGGGTTGGGGTGGTTTGGTAGGTGGTGAGGAACAACAGAAAGGCCCTCCGCTGTACCCTGTCGCCGGGCCCAAGACCACGAAGCGGGGGCGTGGCGCCAAGGCCCCCGCCCGAGGCGAACCGGGCCAGGCCCTGGCGCCACGCCCCCGCCTCCGAGAGGCTTACGACAACAGCCGAGCGGCACGTATAGGGGAACGAAAAGTGACATAAACATAAAAACTCGGAGGTCCGCGCGGATTTCTCGGATCGGCGCTGGGGCCCCCCAGCGGCGCCTCCGGCGCCGCCCCTGGCGCTCTCCGCGCGCCAGGGAGGGGGGTCCAGCGCGGATCCGAGAAATCCGCGCGGACCTCCGAATTTTCATGTTTATGCCACTTTTCGTTCCCCCAACGTACCAACTCGATCCGGCGACCCGATTCGACCTCGTTTCCCGCCTCCTCCGTCCGATGCGAATCCGTCCACGGAGCGGGGGCGTGACTCCCGACAGAAACGTCTGGAGGCCCTCGCCGAGCGCTCCCGGGCCGGGGCCCGGCCCCGCCCGGCGTGGCGCCCTGCGGGTCCTATCTGCCGGGGAGTCGGCGCCCGAGGGGCGCCGAAGCCAAGAGGCCCTGAGAGCCTCTGCCCCAGAAGTCGGGGCGGACCTCCAGCAGTGGATGTGTCGAACCCGGGGAGGAGGAGGAGGAGGAGGAGGAGGAGGAGGAGGAGGAGGAGGAGGAGGGGAGGAGGAGGGAGGAGGAGGAGGGAGGAGGAGGAGGAGGAGGAGGAGGAGGAGGAGGAGGACGAGGGAGGAGAAGGGAGGGAGAAGGAGGAGGAGGAAGAGGAGGAGGAGGACGAGAAGGATGGATGGATGGAGGGGAGGAGGGGGAGGAGGGGGAGGAGGAGGAGGAGGAGGAGGAGGAGGAGGAGGAGGAGGAGGAGGAGGAGGAGGCTCGCTCACTCGCTATCTGCGCATGGCCATGTCGCAGATCACTCGATTGGGGCGGCGGCCGCAGGGCGTTCGGGAGGCACTGTGCTCCCGCCGATGCCAAACAGCGAGGGGAGCCCCTCCCCCAGCAATCAGCTTGGGGTCGCCCTGATTGCAGCACAGGGTCGAGTGGCCTGTACGTGCAGCGCAGACACAAACGTCATTCCGAGGACACGGAGAAGACGAGGGGAGCAGGGCGGCAGCATGGGCGGCGGCAGCGGAGGAATAGAGGGGGGAGAACGGCCAGCCAGGCCACGCGGCAGTAATCGAGGTGACAACCCTCGTTCGGAACCCAAGCGAAGAACTCAAATAAAGATCTCGCAACCGACAAACTACTTACAACTAGCTTTTCCACTATCTTTCCCACGGGTTCTGTTTCGACCTCGGCCTTTGGGGCGCACCAGTGGGTCCCACCCACCCTTGAACTGCACCCGTCAACGTACGTAGATCGAACCCACGGTCGGAGGCAACCCAGGAGAAGGGAGGCCCGAGGAAAGGGGAGGGGGTCTGGGTCCCACTGGGCCCTCCTTCTCTAGCGAACTCTGGGCACGGCGCTCCTGAGTGTTTTTTTGACCAACTTCGGCGTGCTCCCGAGGGCCCAGACAAGGATCGTCATGATCGAATTCGTGGGCGTCATCAATCCTCCAACTTCCTGGACCCAGATGTTGATGAAGAAGGTGTGACGGACGAGAGGCGGCACTCATTCCTTCGCGTATGCGGTCCTCGCCGTCCAGTTGCGGGGCGTCTCGCACGCCGCGGCCTTCTCCTGAGACTTCACCTGCTGGAGCACGATGACGACGGTCTTCAGGTGGTGCTGCAGTTCCGGATTCTGCTCCAGCGTGTCTTGCGTGACCAGCGCCTCGAGCACCGCTGGGCTCACATGCAGGCTGCAGAAGGGGGGCATGTCATGGTCCGAGGGTTTCTCCGTCACGGCGTCGGCACATTTCTGACCTGCCCCGATGGCGGCGTGGTTAACCTGGTGTTCCTTCAGGAGCAGGTGAGTGCCGAAGAGGCTGCCGCTGGGCGTTGTTGAGACAGTCTTTCATCACCTAGGACGCTGTCTCGTCCTCCGAACCGCTGTCGTCTACCGCCATCGCCGAAACGGGTGTTCCAGCTGGCGGCTGCTGCTGCCGATGCTAGGAATCGCATTGTTTGCTGTCGCCGCCAGCGATCAACGAGCTCGTCGGGGAGGCCTCTGCCAGGCGCTTCTTTGTTTTATCTATCTCGGCCTGTCCAGCGGTCATCGCCCACGACATCTGGGGCCGAGAAGGACAGAGTCGCGTCTAACGTCACCGCGTGTACGAACGTGCCGCTGTACAACCACAAGTGACGGATGCTCAATACTGTAAACATGGCGCTCGGACGTTGGTGGTAGAATCGATTCGCGATGAATCGGGCTTCGGTCGCGTTGGCAACTGCTTTTGGTGAACCGTCGTCAACGCGTTGTCGGGTAATCGCTGCGGTCAAGTGCGTACTCATACACCGCGGACTTTGGTTCGTCACTGCGAGCAGCTGCGAGAGGACTCGATGGCCATGGCTGCCGTGCGTGCCGACTTTCCTGTGTGCGTACCATCCCTACTGATCATGAAACTCCAACCCGCACTCCGCGCCATCGGGTACAGCGGCAAACTCTACGTGGGGGAACGGGGTCGGGGTCTGGTAGCGTGTTTCCAGGGTCCTGCACGGCTCATCTATCACACTCTCCCAATACTTTGTGCGGAGCTTGGCAAAGCTTGGCTGGCAGAGCTGGTGGCGGACATTGCCTTTGAAAACGCTACGGTGGATATGTCCCGGGGCAGCATGTAGCTCCGGGCCCCGTTCAATATGAACAAGGCGTTTAAGATCAATGAGTGCTTGGAGGGCCCAGGGGCCCAGGGGTTCCAGCGGGGCTGGCCATTACCATTCCGAGTAAGCAGACCATGTTCAAAGGTCGGGTGCTCTTCGTCGCGCATCCGGCCGAAACGCGCCGCCAACAACTGTCGATTCTCGGTGCGGTGCGTAGCCAGCTCTTGTAGCCAATGCATCCGTCGCCTACGAAGCTCGAGCTGCGAGGAGGCTGGGCCGCGCCGCGCCCAAAAGCGCACAGCTGGGTGCGAAACGCGTTTGATGGAGCCGTCGGCCCGAGGGGTCTTCAGGACCGCCTCTTCTCGCAATACGATCCGTTCTCACGGAACATTGACATGCCAACACCGCCCCATAGCATACCATGCGCTCCTCATGCTCTTGTGTATGGCGTGCCTCTGCTGTGCTGTGGTGCCCGCTCCATGGTACTGCATACCTGGGTCTTTGGCATGCGTGCATACACGTCCTGGCAGATGTGATGCACGGTCGGTAAACGTACGGGGTTCTCCAAAGGCTCCTGGACCAACAATTCGGGGTACAGTGACCTGTTTCTCCTCATCCAGAGCCCCACCAGCGTGAGCACAAGAGGGAGAACTACTGGCAATAGCTGCGCAGGCCTGATCAGCCATAGTTGACGAAGTAGTGGCAATGACCGTATGAGCTGTGGCATCTAGATATAACGTGGAATCTAGTTCGGTACCAGGACAGGCAATATCGTTCATCGGGCTAGAGCACTTCAGATCACGGCCTCCGGGCCGAGCTCGTCGCTCTCCACCCCAGGGAGTGAGCACGCTGCGATCAAAACTGCGGATGTACTTCACCGTCGCCGAATGGTGGCCCTGAACATGGCCCACCCCGTCCGAACAATCCGGGGTGGTGATGTTCTGGTGGCTACTCCGATGACCAACATAACTGCCGTCTGGATGCAAAGGTAGGTCGTCTGATTCATCGAGGAAGTCGGCCTTGATGCTGCCAAAAAGCGTTGGCCTGGTCAAAGAAGAGGGTGCAATGCGATTTGCGTAGGCGGGAGAGGCGCCATCCCGTGATGAGCTGCATCTGAATTGCTGTCTCGCGTCGCCTATGGCGTATGCCAACGTGTAGGTGGTCGGCAAAGACACGCTCGGAGTAGCACTCGTCGCCTCGACGGCCAAGGTGCTTGCTGTAAGCCTTACTGAAGGAGCACATGCGATGAACGAGGCGAACACATAGAAGTCCAGGGGAAGGGTTTCGGAATACTGCGCCCCCTGGACCTATGCCAGTCGAGCGGGCCACGGGCCCCACCACGGACGTCCCATAGGAACCCCCGAACACGACGCGACAACCATTCCGTCGTAGGTACAGCCTGGGCAACGAGATCTCGCTCTTGTTTATAATTTGGGTGTCGATGGGTAGGTAGAGCCAGCACGCGAAATATTTCCACGGGTAAACTCAAGGGGGGGCGCTCTTTCTGTAGGCCGTCATGCCGAGCGCCATGCCTGGCCCATAAAACCTGTGGCCGAGACCCTCCTGCTGGCGATCGGCAGGCAAAACAGCGGGATCAACTAGCGTAGCAGATTGGCCTCCAAGAGGCCTTCGTAGAGCAAGGGAGTCGGCCCACATCTGAACGGTACGGCGCAAACTGAGCGACTGTTTGAAAAAACGCCGTCCTGGCCAAACTGTAGTGCATGCGAATCTGCGGCAGAGACGGTGAATCAGCGACCAGCGTGACGCCTTCAAGGCGTCCCACATCTGATCTGCAAGCGACTCCATTCGACGTTGGCGATCCGCATCTCAAACCTGCCTCGGTTGTTTGGTCATCGGGAAAACTCTGGTCTGTACTTGAGCGAGCTCCTGGACGCGCGCGCTGCCGGTGATCATAGTGGCAGGGAGCTCAGCGAGTTTTTCCCGAAGCTCGCAGCGTTGTCACGAGCGTTGGCGTCTTCGGCGACAGCCTCAGTATGTCGAGCGGAAAAACCCAAGGGCAACCTTACGTGTATCACTCACAAACTGCTCCCAAGCTCTGTCAGGAGGAGGAGGAAGAGGAGGAAGGGGAAGAGGAGGAGGAGGAGGAGGAGGAGAGGAGGAGGGAGGAGGAGGGAGGAGGAGGAGGAGGAGGAGGGAGGAGGAGGAGGAGGGAAGGAGCAGGAGGAGGAAGGAGGAGGAGGAGGAGGAGGCGGAGGAGGATGGGGGTGAGGAGGAAAGGAGGAGGAGGAGGAGGAGGAGGAGAGGAGGAGGAGGAGGGAGGAGGAGGAGGAGGAGGAGGAGGAGAGGGAGCATGAGGAGGAGGAGGAGGAGGAGGAGGAGGAGGAGGAGGAGGAGGAGGAGGAGGAGGAGGAGGAGGAAGAGCAGGAGCGAGGAGCACCATGCCCACAAATGGTCTTCGAAAAAACCAGGGGGGGGGGAGGGTCGCCACTTCCGGCGTTTGGAACCAGGTAGTGGACCCTTCGGCGGCGAGCGGAGGGGGGAAGAGAGGGGGGGCGGGCCTCCTCAGCAGGCTCGGAAGTCCCCCGGCCGGCTGACAATTTCCAAGCCTTCCCCGAGGACACAGAAGACGTCTTGGAAGGCGCGAGGGCTTCTGGGAAGTCCTGCCGCCTTCTGAGAGGGCCATCTGCTTCTCACTTCCCCCCCTCCCTCGCCGTCGATGTACGGTTTCTTCGAAGGCAGAAGAACCACTCACAATAAACACCCCCACGAGCGAAGCCCGTAAGGGAACGCTATGCAAGAGTCGACCGGGCTAGGGCTGTAGATTGCACGAGCAGGGAGGCCTTGCAAGCGCCACTCATGAGGGTTGGGGTGGCTCTTCCACCTCTGGCTAGGCGGATTTCGGTCGCTAGCATCTGCCTGAAGATCCTCTCAGGACGAGAATGATGTCATGATGCTATTGGCTCAGGCTGCGCTCCAGGACTTCCAGGATATCTACATAGCAGCCCTCGTCTCTGGATCTCTGGAGTCCGTGCGGGATAGCAACACAGAAACTGAAACTCCTGGAAGACTGGCCCTCTCTGGTGATTGCCCCTCGCATCACCAGCATCTCCCGAGTGTACTTGTTCGGGATGTTGCGGAGCATGACGGTGGTGCAGCTCCCGTCCTCGGCGTCACGCAAGTGAAGGGGCCCTGGGACACACAAACAACTGCACACACAAATGAAACGATTCCCCACAGTTTCCCATCTTTTCTGGGTCTTTGCCTTCCCCCCACTACCCATAGTTTCCCATATTTTCTAGGGCATCGCCGATGAATTGTGTCTGTGTGCTTCTTTCCCTCCTGAGCTGCGCGCTCTGGTGCCCTGCGCCTGCCTCGGCGGGTGAGGACCGCCGCCGTGGGACTGTGCGCTGACCAGGGGAGGAGGGAGGAGGGAGGAGGAGGGAGGAGGGAGAGGAGGGGGGAGGAGGAGGAGGAGGAGGAGGAGGAGGAGGAGAATAGGAGGGGGAGGGAGGAGGAGGAGAGGGAGGAGGAGGAGGAGGAGGAGGAGGGAGGAGGAGATAGGAGGAGGAGGAGGAGGAGGAGGAGGAGGAGGAGGAGGAGGAGGAGGAGGGAGGAGAGATTTTTTTTTTTTGCATCTCGGGCCATACGCACGCGGCTCTGGCCAGTCACCCTCCAGGTGGGGTGGCCTGACGGTGCCTGGGCGTGCCGAGTGGCGGGGACCCAGGGCAGAGACCGCCAGGCGGGTGGCCCCTCACAAGCACGCAGCACCGCCGAGATGGCGGTGGGGCTTGGACGGGGGCCTAGTCCGACTCGTCCTCGCCGAAACCCACAGGAGGGATGAGCGGTTCCCCATCCTCCTCTTGGCGCGGGCTGGAGTGCAGCTGGCGCTCGCGTCCGGCCTCGGACCGCTGTGGGCGAGGCACAGGGTGTGGGGTTGGCGGGCTCGGGAGCGGCATCGCAGCGCGCGCTGCTGCTTTCTCTCTCTGCGCGCGCTGCTGCCTTTGAATTTCTGCGGTATTGTACCGCTCGGACTCTGAAGCAAAAAGACGAAATCTCGGATGCTTGCCATCCAACAGACGATTTCTCACATTCGCACGTCCACCACTCTTGGGAGGCCGTCCAGGACAGGTGGCGGGCAAACCTCTGAAAGCATACTGGGCATAACGCCCACAGACTAAGCAAAAGACAACAGGCACGGCAAAATGCGCAATTGCCATCTGATGGCTGGCATGGATAGCTTCTAGGCCGCGTCTGAATGCGCTGGCATGGCTGGCATGCCTGCCTCTCACGTGCGACAGCGGCCTTATACGATCGGGCGTACGTAAAACATGCTCTGCACCTGTACGGTATCGGCCCCTGAAGAACCTCCCAGTCGTGCACGACGATGGGAGCCTGAACCTTACAGGGCAGAGCGGCTCTCTCGCTCTTGTGCCTGTTGCGCTGGCACAAGGCAAGAACTCTGGGGGCATATAAAGCAATCGCTCGAGCGGCCTCGATCTTGCGTTGCAACTCATGCAGCGCGGTCGGGTTGAAACTTGGGTGACAGTCTACAGCCGCCTTCGCCATCTTGTCTGCTGCAGCATTGATCTCCGCCGCAAGTCTGGCCTCTCCAGCCAATGAATGTATATCCTGATGGCTCTTGACCTTAGAGGCCGTCTCGAGATGATGTCTGCTGTCCCGCGCAAGCGCAAGCTTGTGCAGGCCTGAATACTTAAGCTTACTGCTGAGACGTGTCGGCAGTGGCCTAGCATGCTGATCAAGGACCGCTTTGCAGTCCACCCAAGTCTTCGAGGGTTTGGTGAGGGCCTCCTGGAGAACCAGGAAGCCCATGTGCTCCCCAGCCTGAGAGGTCTGGGGAAGGTTCGCAGCGACAGCGCCATAAAAGGAGGCCTCTGGGACCCCGTCGGTACTGTAAGCCACTACCGAGAACGTCGCTCTGTCTAGCTCCGCTATGCCTGTCTTGGTGCACGACCCGTCGGTTCCCGTGAGCCCCCCAAAGTGCGGTACCGTGTCAGGCTGACCGTCGTGTCTGACGAATCGAACGATGGGATTCTCTCTAGGCAGCGGAAAATCATCATGCTGTTCCCCTGGGTGCTCGAAGATACCGAAGCAGTACAGGGGGCTATTCTCTGGCGCCTCCAGCGCGGCCTGCAGCACGTCTGGCGGCAGCAGCTCTGTCCTGAGGGCAACTACCTCTGGATGCTGACAAGAAAAGAGACGATGGTGTATGGTGTCCCCGAAGGCTTTACAGAGCGGGCACTCATTAGGCACGTCGTAGCCTAGCTGAGCGAGTTTTTCTTCAGTCCACCATCCCTGGACCACGAGAGTTTGGAGAATGGCCTTAAACCTGGGGGGGAGCTTCTTGCTTTTGGGGGAAAGCAAGGCTCGAACCACATCAAAACACACTCTCTTCATGGGGGTTGGGCTGGGTATGCTCTTAGCTGCAATTGTTTCCCACCTCCTCTGGCATCCTCGGAGCAGCAAGTCGGAAAGCAGGCTCGGCGAGGTGTCAGTGAGCCTGACCGTCCTGCCAAAGTGGTCCTGCAGCGTGAAAGCGGAAGTGAAACTCCAGCCAATTCGGTGAAGCGCATGGGCTGCCGCACTGAGTGGTCCTCGCACGGCGTTATAACACAAGTGTCCTATTGGCTGCACGTTGTTATAAATCTGCTTGAGCTCAAGAAGGCCGAGGGTCCCTGGGGTCACGTATTTGCCGAGGGTGGTGTGCCACACTTCCTGGGCCCACCTGAGGACAGGCCCTAAGGCCCAACGGTCGGCCCTGGACCCCGTGACGGCGAAGGCCGCACTCCTGGATTTCTTGGAGGAGCAAGGCGTGATTTGCGCAATCTCCAGAGACTGCAGCATATACAAAGACTTGTTGCTGAGACCGTCGACGGCGGCCCCGAAAGCCCCTGCAGGGAGGAGCCCAGTGGTGACAATCTTGCGACATCTTTGTCCAGCGGTAGCAGTGAGCTTACGCAGGCGTTGCCCTCTGACCGTCGCGGTCCTGAGCCTGACCTTGCGCTTGGCGGCTGCGCCGTTGCAACCGAAGGATTTACCAGCCGTAAAATCGCAACCTAAGTTAGTGGCGACCGCTTGGAGCTTGCCCCCAGTGGCCCCAAGGGCCGACGTGAGAAGCCTGGCTAACGACACCGACGACGCAACGACCGCTCCTTTGTGAACCGCTATCCTGGCCTCTAGGTCTATCTCGATGAGACGGGCAAGCTCCTTGGCGGCACTGACAACACGCTTGAGCACCCTGACCGTGGTGCCGTGACAGGTGATGGACAGGTCATCCAAATAGAAATCGAAATAGACAGCCGAGTGCAGCGATGTTATTCGCAAGAAAGCGTCAAAGCAATAGATCCTGACATAAAGGATGCAGAAAGAACAGCCCGCCACTATGCCGTTGGTGGCCGCTATAGGCTGAGCCACACAGCGCTTCCACGCTATGTGCCTCCACGAGCCGTAACCTGCAAGGTGATATGCGAGCAGAGTCTCAGGAAATCCTAAGGCGAGCGCTCGAGCCCGCAATTTGTTGCGCTTGAAGCGCTCGAAGAAAGCCTCCATATCCCAGAGAACACCAGCAGAGGCCCCTCCGCCCGAGACGGCCCCTTCAGCTCTGAGACTCTGCCGCCATACCACGTCGACTGGTGATCTGCCTGCGCCGCAGGCAAACCAAGAGTAGTCGTGCTTAGCTATCCAGTCCTGGGCGAAATGCAAGCGCAGCTTGCCAGGAGGAGGAGATAGGAGGGAGGAGGGAGGAGGAGGAGGAGGAGGAGGAGGAGGAGGAGAGGGAGGAGGAGGAGGAGCGACCCTCTGGGCAGGAGAGCGACCCTTCCGGGGCGCGCGGCGTGCCGATCGCTGCTCTGCGCGGTGCGCCTCGACCGTCTCGGCGGCCTGTGCGCTCGGGCTCGAGCTTTGCACCGCCCGCCCGCGCACGCCGGTGGCCTCTCCCTCCTCCTCCTCCTCTCCTCCTCCCTCTCCTCCTCCCTCCTCTCCTCTATCTCCTCCTCCTATTCTCCTCCTTCCATCTCCTCCTCCTCCTCTCCTTCCGCCTCCCTCCTACTCCTCTCCTCCTCCTCCCCTACCTATCCTCCTCCTCTCCTATCTCCTTCCATATTCTCCTCTATCTCCTCATCCTCCTCCTCCTCTCCTCCTCCTCAGACTCATCCTTTCTCCTCCTCCCTCCTCCCTCCCTCCTCCCTCCCATCCCTCCCTCCCTCCCTCCCTCCCTCCCTCCCTCCCTCGGGGACCCCCGGGAGCCGCGCAGCAAAAGGCGCACCTCGCAAAGGGCCGCTCCGCATCTCTGACGTGGCCTTCTCCTTCTCAACGTGGGCCCCCGAGGGTCTGTACTTCCTGGAAGTCTGTTGAGGGCCCCAGGGCCAGGTCAGGGCCCCCCGAGGCCGAAGACAGTTTAAGCACCTTCCCGTCGCTCATCCCCTCACGACGGGAGGAGATCTGGGCTACGCTCGGCATGGAGGCAGCGGGTCCTGAAGGAAACAGGTCCTGGACCCTGGGGCCCTTCCCTGGGACCAGGTTTTCATCCTGAGCCGTTTTCTGACAGTCCCAGGGCCCAGGGAGGGCCCCGGGAACCCGAAGACGGCCAACAAACTCAGGACCCGGGTGCATCAGGAGCCGCTTGCTACATGGCGATGGCCATCGGTCGAAGACGCGGGTAGAAACACGAAGCAGGAAGACATTAATAAAACTAGAATGGGACTCCGCAAGCCCCTCTGAATAGGAAGGAAGAGGGAACCCCATAAGGCGTCTAAAGTACTCTCGACTCCGGAATGAAAGGGGGGGTGCTTGGATTTGGAGGGGGCGGTCTGATTGGAGCTGTCTCGGAGGGTTCCAGAAGGGTCTGAGCAGAAGGCCCCCATTTCATGGCTGGTCTGGGGGGGGGGCCCAAGACTGCTCGTCTGGGAGGGCTGTGACCCCCTCCCCTGTCTCACGACTATTGGAATACATCTTAATCCCTAGCACCCCGGACCACCTGCGCGCGGGCCAGGAGTCTGTACCTCGGCGAGTTCGCAGGGGCGAAGGCGGGGAAAACGATTCGAGCAGGGTATCGGCAACAGACTTGATTTGCCCCAGAATTGCCGTTTCAGCCGACGCTACACCCTGCGAAATGCTTAAGAAATCATGGGTTAAGAAATTCAGAGTCTCAGAA